CTCCCTGGGACAACAACACACACGTACTCCCATAGCCACGTTTCCCTCTCGACTTTTCCTTTCTCAATATTTCCCCAGATAGCAGCAGGAGCGCCGAGCACCCGCAGAGCTCGCGTATCAGGAGCAAGCTCAGCCGCTACGAGTCCACCATCTTGAACTCCAGTATGGCGCACCGTGCGATTCCGAGAAGCCAGAAAAAAAAGGGGAAGCCGAGAGCGAAAAGGGCTCAAGTGTTAAACGGAGTCCGATAACGGATCCTCGCGTGCTCGAGAACGGCGGCCACGAGAATTCCAGCCACGTTATGGGAGCCCGATATGAATGAACGTAGTTTAGCCAGGATCAGGGGAGGGGTTCGAAAGGAGATAGGAGACGATAAGTGAAAGATACCAGAAAGCTAGTACTAGCGGTACGAGTGGAGGGGTGGGCCACCCCCACTCTGCCCTCTGCAGTACGAGGTCGTCGCGACGCTGAACGAGGCGAGGGCGACGCCAGGGGGGAGGAAGGGCGCTTTTACTTTCCTTCGAATCGATCCTTCCCCCATCCTGACTCAGCCCTTGGCCTTAGCCTAGCAGCGAATTCTTCGAGACTCCCTGTGAGACCGGATGTCCTCGTGTCTTTTAAGTATCCGGTGACACATTTTAAATTACTAATTCTGCTTATCCACGTGACTGTCCCAGTGAATTCCGTCAAGATTTTCTCTCTTTTTTCGATATTTATCCTCCTCCCCCCCCACCCTGAACGTCGCCGACAGAAAAACAAAAAACCAGCACGTGCAAGTAATTGGCCGGGTCTGCTTGCACGGGATGGGTAGGTAAATTACGTCGGAGAAGCTCGCCGGTGGCAGAACCTAAAAAGTCTGCGCAATCTGAGAGTGGTTTGTTTACATGCTCGTTATCTGATACCGGTTTATCAGCAAATTACCCGTTTAAACACACGAGGCGCACGTTGCCCGACGGTGCGAATGCGCTTTGCAGTCTCCGTACCGGATTTCATCTCGTAGCCATTCACTTGGTCCTCTCTTTATATGGCTGAAGATCATTACCCTTGAGAGGGGGTCCCCGGGGGTGGGGGTCAGCGAGGGTGAAAGAGGGAAGGTGGCGCAACCTGCCGCGAAATCCCTGCCGGCGACAATGGGGCCAATTTCCAACCCGTTTTCGGTGCAACAAGTCATTGGGCGTGCAGGAGGGGCTTCAGGATGCATTTCATCCAATCCGCGATGCACTCCCGATCACCCTTGCACACTGCAGCTCGGACTCTCCCCCCTTCCGGACCCTCCGCTCGTAACATGCACTACTCGTGTCATCGATACCGAGTCCTGCTAATCGCTCCGGAGCGAGTCGTCCGATGACTAATCAGTCATTTTTCAGTCATTTTGTAAGTAGGAAATTGAGCTAGGAGCTACAGCGTCAGGCTGATTCAAGCAAATTCTTGATTCGGGATGGAAAAATTTTCAGGCGTTCGCCACGTGTCAGTCTGGTAGCTGGAGGGGCCTGAGAGATGTGGGGAGGTGGCGGAAGGTGGTGACGTAGAGGGGGTGTGTGGAGTCTCTCCATTGTATTCCAATTTTAGCGAAACGATGCTCGACGACCAGGTGAAATTTTCAGCGGAAGTGCGAGGATGACGGAGAGAGTGAGTTTGAGGACGGTGGGAGGGCGAGGAGGAGGGAGGAGGACAGGGCGGGTGGGGAAGGTCAGCAGGCGCAGGCCTTTGTTTTCGTCTGCTTTTGGGAATTTTCGGCGGCACTCGGAGGGCTGGGGGTCGGGAGGGGGTGTCAGGTAGGTCTGGGGTGCATGCGGGTTGAACGGGTATATATATGTATATATATCGACAGGTCCCTCTAGCCTCGTCGGGTCCTTCTAGCACAGTAGACTTTCAAACCTTTACCTTTCCCTTTATCACCCTTTATCACCGTGTGACCAGCCTGCCTCTCCCTCCCAGCCCTCCTACTCCCTCTCCGCGAGCACCGCATGCACGTGTACCCAGCGATTTCGTTCGTTCACCTTTAACGAAGGTGAGTCGCCGGCTGAGCGCCAACTTGAGCCAGTGCTGGATCATTGCGCCATCTTGCCTTAGACATATTACAAAGTCATACTCGATTCGCCTTAAAAACCCTGATATAGAATCGATTTCCAAATTTTCGACAATTTTACAAAAAAAAATTTCAACCCACCGATCGACACGTAAACGTGACAAAAAAACAATAGTTTCATTGATGCCTGGTAAAATGGTAAAAAAAAAAAATGAAATCCCAGAAATGCCGTTATCCTGAAAAAAAAAGTCTGCTAATCAGAAAAAAAAAGTACTAAAAAATTTATGAAAAATATCGACCCTCCGGTACCCCGAAAATCGTCGGAGGGTAACAGAAAGCGAAAGAGGTAGGTGAGGAACCAGGAGAGTAAGTACGGCCCTGACGTAGGACCGTCGACGACGCTGGCTGCGCCGTGGAGGTTCGCGCGGCGCCAAAATCGATTTTCAAAAGGGAAAGTGATACGTATATAACAACGTATACGGAGAAACCGCGGCTTGAATAAAGGTGGCTACTGCATCGTGTCTGGGTTGGCTGGCCTGTCTCACTTACGTACATACGTGAGCGCCGGAACCGTAGAGCCCGTGTGCGTCTGGTTGCTCGACGCAGACGCAGCAGACACGTCGGTCCTCTGGAACACACGGACTCTTTCTCCCGAGTCAAGCAGTTACGCACGCATTTAGATTGATGCGTGAGTATGCGAAGACCACAGTCGCGCACTTACGTAGAAAGGAAGGTGGTACCAACCTTTAAATACGAATACGCGAGCGGTCCATGACGTCACGATTAGTACTATAGACATAATAATAATAATCGGGGTAAGGGTAACAGTCGAAATTAACATCGATATCAGCGCCACTGTCATGTATAAGTAATCCCTGCCTAAAAGCAAAGCGCCTGCCTAATCGCAGTGACTATAAGCATCGCCAGGATTCGTGGCGGTCCTTCCATCTATAGAACGAAACTGACTCGGTAATCGGTCCGACTGCAAGTTGGCTTTATTAATTATTACTCGACGACCCAAGGAGCCATTCCGCTTATAGCAGCCCCAAGGTACAGGCCGCTGCCTCGTGGTACAGGAAGTAATTTCGCGGCTGCTAACAATAAGGACCCGACCGTATCCGGTTTGGCTTGCGATACCCCCCACTAGGCGCCTTGCCTGACCACTGCGACTCTGCTCTATGGAAATATAGTATTTTTTTTTTAACAAGTAACAAGCGAATGCATCGACACTGAATTCTAGTAACCCTTTATCGTGGCCATAGATAAGATAGCTCGATAGGGGATTACGGATAAATATACGACATTAGTTACAGTCAGTTGTACCTTTTTTTTTTCCTTCTTTTGAGACAAGATTCTCCATTGCTATGAAAAAGGTGGAAGCATTTAGAAAAATTATTTTAGAAAAAAAAAAAAAAAAAAGATAGCGAGGTTTTAAGAATTATTGTTTTATACTAAATTGATGCCGGCAACAGTTTAAGGGGGTTGAAAAGAGTCAGAGAAAGGTAAGTCAGTAAGACTGTTAGTGCTGACGCGAATTAAAGTGTCAGTGTTATCGTTAAGCGAACGAAGCACGTAATCAGCGTGGAGCAGCGTTCGTTAACTGTACAGAGAGCAAGAAGCCATAGAATTGTAGAACCATAAAAAGTTGGCCCGTTAAAGTACGTTACTTACGTGAGTGAGCGCTCCTATAGTTACGTAGGAGCCACTATCGGTTTGTCCGTTCATTTAAACGAATTACTACTCGCGTCAGCCAATAACCCAATTATAATAAGCCACGATTCAGAACTCCCATCCAAGTACGAATGAATGGAGACGACGAAGGAAGCCGAATCGAGCCGAGCGCACTCGGGAAAAGCGGATGTTTTCGTATGGCGAGAAAGAAAAAAAAAAGTTATTGCGAACGTGCTATGTCGAGGTGCTCGTGCGTGCGTGACCGGAATACGGCTTTCGG